AATGTCCACCCGTGCTCCAGAGGGGCTTCACTTCCAAGACATTTGGACTCTCCTGGAAGCAGGCTGGCCCCTTCTCCAAGTAGGAAAGTTGCATTAGTAGAGCAAGTTGGGGGATCTGCGCACGAACCCGACCCAGGTTACAAATATAGGAGAAGACAGAATTTGAAGGCATAATCAAAGAGAAAAAAATAAAATAAGAATAGCTAGTATTTATATAATGCTTTAAGGTGTTTACAAAGCACTTTGTAAATAGTATCTCCTTTTATCCTCACAGAAACCCTGGGAGGTAGGTGCTGTCATTATCCCCATTGTACAGATGAAGAAACTGAAGCAGGCAAAGCTTAAATGACTTGCCCAGGCCACATACTTATGTAAATTTCTGGGGCAGTATTTGAACTCAAGTCTTTCTGACTCCAAGTCAGGGTCCTAGGTTAGATCCACTAGAATCTGAAAGGTTGTTCTCAAGGATGGTGGCAGTGGTCTGACTATCCTAGCCCATGCTGCCTCTTCTGTCTCTGTCTCTCCTCCTCCTCCTCCTCCTTCATCTTCCTTCTCTCTCTCCCTCCCTCCCTCTCTCTCTCTCTGTCTTCCTCCCTCTCCTTCTCCATCTCCCTCTCTCTTTTCCTCCCTCTCTCCTCCTTTCTCTTTCTCTATCTCTACCCTCCCCCTGACTCCAGGTCTATTTAATGTGTCCCCTAGCTACCTATGAGAATTCAGGTGAAGCAGGGATTACTTCTGTCTCAGGGAATCAGATTGCCTTTGAACTAGGCTTTGAAGGATGCATAGGAGTTAAGCAGGAAGAACTGGAAGGGCAGGTAGGAGAGGAAGCATTCTAGAAAGAGGAAACCATGTGGGCCAAGCTATGGTGGCGTGAGGTACCTTTTTGGGAGACAACACATAGTGAAATGGAGTAATGGAAAATAAAACTGGAAAAGTAAATTAAGGCCAGATCATGAAAGGTCTTGAACAACCAAGACAGAAACTTTATTTTGTAGGCAATGGGAAAATATTTAAATTTTTATAGAGTGGAGGAAGTGAGGATTGACAGGATAAAGTCTATATTTTAGGAAGATTACTACGGCTCCAATAATTAGGATGGATTGCATTCACTCTCCACTCTCTCCCCTGGCTTGGCAGTCACAGAACTCCTCTGGGATGAATAGGCAGCAGGAAGCCTTACTACCATTGGAGGTACCCTCCCTCTTTCCCTAGGGCTGATTGACTGCTCGTGGGGCTTGGATGAGATGGAAATCCACATTCCATTCCTTCCCATGAGATGAAGGACCACCACGGCTTATCATCTACCTGCCACTGCTTCCTATCATCCTCCAGTCCTCACCATCTGACCTGCCTCTTACCTGCCTATATAACCATAAGGACCTGTGGGTCACCATCATCCCTACCATTGAATCCTTGGTATTTTTTGGTCTTTCCATATTCTCTGATGATTTTCTTTTGAAATGCCATTTCTTCCAATTGACATGTAAGCTCCTTGAAAACAGGGACTGTTTTACAGAATGCTGTGAATATACTAAGCACTTAAATATTTTTTTTCATTCATTTCATTGATTCGAGAAGGGAGAGACTGAAGATTGGGAGATTAATTAGGATGATGTTGCAGTAGCCTTCCAGGAAGTATGTCCGGTGTTCTTGGCCCCAGAGTCCTGGGCTGTCTCCAACAGTCTGAGGGATTGTTGTCTGGATGGTGGCAGTGGTTTGATTATCATGGCACATGGTGTCTCATTTCCCTCCTCTCCCCTCCCTCCCCTTCCCATCACCTCCCTTCTCCTCTCCTCTCTTCCCCTCTCCTTTCCTTTCCTCCTCTCTCCTCTCCTCTGCTTTCCTCTCTTCTCCTCCTTTCCCCTACCTTCCTCTCCCCCTCCCTCTCCCTCCCTGTCTCTATTTCTCTGTTTCTCTATCTCTCTGTGTCTCTCCCTCTTTCTCTTTCTGTCTCTGTCTCCCTCTCTTCTCTCTCTGTACCTTGCTGCTTCTGCTAAGTGGTCTTGCCTGCCTAGAAAGTGACGATTGATGAAGATGGCTGGCCCCTTCTACACATGAGTTACTTATCTGACTGATGCTAGAAGCAGAGTCTGTGGTCTAACTGATGAGACATCCACCCTAAATGCATTATCTTGCTGTTCATTGATTCCTCAACTTCTGTTCCTTACTTGCATATTGACAGGTGAATCCAAAGCATTACTGTCTACCACCTTCCTTTATTTTGTTAGGACATCACTTTTTCCACTTTCTTTGCAGTTAAATTTTCTCAGTTAGTTTCCTTCCCTTGGAAAAGTCAGCATGACCTAGAATTCTTTAGTCTATACTATCTTCTATTTAAACCTAATTTTGTTCTGTCTCATTAAATGCCTCAGGGTATCCCCAAGACTTCCAGTCATAGCCTGCCCAGCAGGCCCCACTTTCAAGCTGATCCTGGGCCTAGCCAATTATTTCTATTCTCTCTCAGTAGATTATGTGGGAAGATGAGCTGAGCTACATGTCTGACAGATTCAGTCTTGTCCCTGCACATTTATTCTCTTCATTTCTTATTTTGGGTATCGTTGTGATGCTTCCTTTTATTTTGTCATTTTCTCACTACAAGCCAAATCTCTAACTTAAAACACATGCTGCAGACCATGACTTTCCAAAAGTCATCAACATCATTATACAGCTTTTTTTTCCTGAATCCTAATTTATTTTTGTTTGTTTGCTTGTTTTGCTTTTCTTGGCATCTTAAATAGTGAAAAAAAATTCTGATCTCAGCTCCCCAGCCCTGCAAACATACACAAGATTACACAAAGACCAATGGGGAGAGGGGACACAGGAGGCAGGTTACATCTCAGGGGAATTTGAGCAACGGCTCTTGTGTGCCAGGGCCAGGATCAGTTTGCGCAGGCTCAGCACGTTCTGCTCCTGGATGCTGAGCATCAGGGCTACCCTTGAGGACAGCTCCAGCTTCTGGTTGGTGGGCACAGGGGACATCTTTGGCGATGACTCCTGACCCCTCCTGGAGCCTAGGCTGATGCCAGCAGCACATGTAGGCGACAACATCCTGCATGGACGGAACCATGAAGTCTCTGTGCAGCAAGGACTGACTGTTTCTTCTCTCTTCTGTCACGCTGTTTCCGGAAGAGAGAGAGCTTCACTTTGTCTTTATATTTCAAGTGCTTGGTGCACAATCGGATGTGCTTTCAAAGGTTCAGGGCACTCGGGTATAGCACAGTCTCTCCAACTTACGGATTTAGATAGATGCCCACAGCAGAGATGTCAAACACGCCTCCTGGGTGGTGTGTGGGCCGTGACACTCCCTCATGCTGCCCCAACCAGATTAAAATGCAATTGGGAAATATTCAACGACAACAATGTATGTGTGTGTGTGTGTGTGTCACTTCTGAAATCCACTGCCTTTGTGGCCCAGGGTAAGTCCTGTGAACCAGCTGAAACTGAAATGGTGGGGGAGGGGGATGTTAGTGGATGGGGCTCTAAACAGTGTATAAAGATCCCTTGACTTAGAAAGTCACAAATTGCATCTTTATATATGTATATATATATATATATATGTATGTATGTATACACACACACACACACACACATACACACACACACACACACACACCACCCAGGAGGCGTGTTTGACATCTCCGCTGTGGGCATCTCTCTAAATCTGTAGGTTGGAGAGGCTGTGCTATACCCAAGTGCCCTGAACCTATGAAAGCACATCCAACTGTGTACCAGGCACTTGAAATATAAAGACAAAGTGAAGCAATCCCTGACCTCAAAGAGCTTTCATTCTATTAGTAAAAGCAACATGCACACAAAAAAGTTCCTAAAAATAGATACAGAGTAATTTGGAGGGTGGCAGAGGGAAAGCACCAACTTGGGAAATCAGGAAAGCTCTCCCACGGGAGACAGCATTTGAGCTGATTTTTTTTGTTTTGTTTTTTTTGGCTAAGCAATGGGGGTTAAGTGACTTGCCCAGGGTCACACAGCTAGTAAGTGTCAAGAGTCTGAGGCCAGATTTGAATTCAGTTCCTCCTGATTCTAAGACCAGTGCTCTATCCACTGCACCACCTAGCTGCCACCTATATAATTTTTTTTTTCAGTGGGGCAATCAGGGTTAAGTGACTTGCCTAGGGTCACACAGCTAGTTAGTTGAGCTGATCTTGAAGGAAGCTAGCTGTTATAAGAGTCAGAAGTTAGGGGAAGTACATTCCAGGGATAGGGCTGCTTCTAGGTCTACCTAGTGACATGAAGAAATGGACGGCTTCTGATCCCCATAGAGAGGCAAGGAAAGACGGGCTGGAACATTAGGTGAGGGGGCAGCAAGAAGGCCTGTTTGCTGGGATCATAAGGTGTGTGGAAAGAACTGTAAAATAAGGCTAGAAAGGTGGGTTGGAACCAGATTTTGAAGGACTTTAAAAAATAACAACAATAATAACTAACATTAACAAAGCACTTGCTATGTGCCAGGCACTGTGCTAAGCACTTTACAATTAATATCCAGTTGGGTCCTCAAAACAACCCTAAGAGGTGAGTGTTATTATTATTATCCCCATTTTACAGATGAGGAAACTGAGCTTAAGTGACTTGCTCAGGCTCACTCAAGGAAGAGGGACCTATGCCTACTCCATATTGTGGGTGGGAGGAAGAAGGCACATTAGCATAGATGTTGGTCTTATTACACACCTCTACCACCGAGGCTTTGGGGAGAAAGTGGTCTCCTACTTAAAACGGCTGCTACAAAGAATCCACTCCACCGAGTTCAGTACAGCCTCTAGCTGAAGCGCTCCCTCACGGCAGCGGGTCATGGTATCTCAGAGTCCATCCATTGCTGGGCTAAGTCCAGCACGCTGCTCATGGGGCCTAGGGCAGCATTCATACCTCAAATGGCTCAATGCCTGCAAACTGCTTCCTAGAGCCCTAGTAGGACCCTTGATCTTTAGACGTTCACAAGACTGCATCCCAGTCTGTTCCATCGCTAATATTTCATCACCTGATAACAGCAAAAATAGGCACAAGGAGATGAAAAACAGAGATACCACATATTCACAGCTACACCCAGGCAAACGGGCCTCCGGCAGTGGCAGAACCTCTCTTCTTACCCAGAGGCTTACAGCAGGTATTTCTTCAGTCACCATCAGGAAAAAGACCAATCTAACTGGTTAGTGACTTTTTTTTTACACTCTTTTAGTTTAGCTCAGAAGCCAATTCTTCTTTGCCACATAGTAAGTGGGGGAAAAATAGTCAGAGAATACTTGTACATTCTACCAAGTTCATGTGGGGGATTGCACCGAATAGGGTCCTCTGTGCATGTTTGTCAGGACGAGGTTCCAGTTGGCTGATCCCTCGTTACATATTTAACCCTCAAGGACCTGGGAAGCCACTAGAATTTATTAACCAGGGAAATGAGAGAGGTGATAGTCCCGCCATACTCTGTTCTGGTCCTATCACATCTGGAGGAGTGTGAGTAGTTCTAGGGTCTGCCAATTAGAAAGGACATTAATAAGCTGGAGCACCTTCAGATGCAGTCAGCAAGGACAGTGAGGGGAGCTGAGATCACGACATATAAAAATATTGCTATGTTTAACCTGGAGAAGGGAAACCTTTGGGGGAACATGACAGCTGCATCTTTAATCTGTGACCTGTTGGGGATCAATCCTGGACTGGCTTAAGCCAAGTGAAGAAGGGATATATTATTCCTGTTCTTCATCCTTTGTGCATTCACCATTGAAACAACTAGGAGGTTAGCAGTTATTTCCTATGATATTTCCAAGAATGGCTGAGCTGAGAAGACCCCATAATAGTCTCCTTTCAGTAGCTTAATACATATCATCACGCCCACCATATCATGACTAAGTAGGCAAGTGCCTAACATGCCAGCAATTATGACAGCAAAAACATGCATGTGTATATGTAAGTGTTCTTAACCTTTTCATGTTATAAACCCCTTTGGCAAACTAGATGAAACCCATAGACTCCTTTTGAGAATAATATTTCTTTTAAAAATTCACAATTGAAGGAAATGCTGAATTTCAGATAGAGGTTAGATAATGTTTTTTCACACACAAATACTTGAAAGCTCTCCATGGTCCCCTTGGAAAGCCACGGACCCCAGGTAGAGAACTCTCGTGTTAGAAAAATGTCCAGTGAGCCCCTTCTGATGAGGACTTCACCCTGAGAGATATATCTATGTTTCCTTGGAACGTGGCATGGAATATATTCATCCAAAGAGTGCACACCTTCCATCAGGTACATTTGGTTAAACTCTAAAGTCTGTGAATCCCATTCAATAAGTAAGTTATAATTAAATTAATCATTTTATTCTTCCATTTGTGTCATCCATTTAGGACACATGAATTAGCGTGTACTTGGATTTGAATGTGTTATGTCTGCCTCAGTGACTACGGAGGCAGCTTCCTGTATGATGTGAGTATTTGTGATTTCTTTTTTAAAAAGAAGCAAGTGACAAGAAGTTAAAGATAAGGGGATGAGGGAGAGGAATGTGGCACAGCAAAGGAATGCCTTTACTAATAGTTTCTAGCTCACAGGTTCCAGGAATTGGTCAAGGGCGCTAGCCAGGATATGATCTAATTGCTTGCCGTAAATCTTTTGTCAAGCCATAAAAACAAAGCTAAACATTATTTTCTAGAAAATCAAAATGAAACTACCTGCAAAGAAGGAAACAAGGATGTACTAAGTGCTAGGCACTGTGTTAAGCACTCTACAAATATTGTCTCATTTTATCCTTACAACAACCATGGGAGGTAGATGCTATTATTATGCCCATTTTACGGTGGAGGAAACTGAGGCAGACCGAGGTGAAGTGACTTGTCCAAGATCACACAGCTGGTAGGTGTCTGAAGCTGAATTTGAGCTCAGGTCTTGCAGTCTCCAGGTCCATTACGCTATCTACTGTGCCATCTAGCTGCCTCCTTCCAAGGATCATGAGATTTAGAATTTTAAAAGACACTTAAGAGATCATCTTATCCGAGTTCCCCATTTCCTCAAAAAATGAGGAAACTGAGGCCCAGAGGCGAGAACTGACTTGCCTTCGGTTGTACATGTAAGTAGTAGAAATTAGCTTGGTTGGGACAGCCAGGTGACACAGCGGATAGAGCACCAGCCCTGGATTCAGGAGGAACTGAGTTCAAATCTGGCCCCAGACACATAACACTTACTAGCTGTGTGACCCTGGGCAAATCACTTAACCCCATTACCCAACCCAAAAAAAGAAAAGAAATTAGCTTGGTCCTGTTTTTCATCCTTTTCCAGGACTTACCTATGATTGTGACTAGTCTACTTGGTGCTTGAAAATAAAAAAATTTCTAGATATTGGTTCTCAGGTTTATAAATTGGCTGTTTGTTGGCATTTGAACAGTTTCTAGCAAATCATATTACACATTTTACCTGGCTAGAACTCCACATACAAACCTGGGAAATTTTTCCATTAGACAGAGTATAAAAAGGAAGTTTTTAAAAAATAAAAGAGAAGCAAGAACATTAACTATTATGTAACAGGCCAAAGTCCCACAGTATTACCCCAAAGACATTTTCCTAATGTAAACTATAATTCCTAGAAGAGGCATCTTTTCAGGCTCTAGTAGTGTTAAGAGCATGGATTTGGAGTGAGAGGACCTGAGTTCAAATTCTAGCTCTGCTTTTTTGTTGTTGTTTAGTCCTGTCCAACCAACTCTTTGTGACTCCACGGGATTTTCTTGGCAGAGATACTGGAGTGGTTTGCCATTTCCTTCTACAGCTAAGGAAACTGAGTCTAAAGGGGTTAAGTGACTTGCCCAGGGTCACATAGCTAGTATGTGTCTGAGGCCAGATTTGAACTCAGGAAGATGAGTCCATGCCTGGCACTCTATCCACTGTGCCACCTAGCTGCCCTGGCTCTGCTATTTACTACTTATGTAATCACAGGGAATGGAATCACTTGAGTTTTCTGGGTCTCAATTTCCTCAGTTATAAAATAATCTCAAGTTCCCATTCAGTTCTAAATCTTATGGCATTATCTACTCGAGACATTCTGGATATTAGCTGGGACCCTGGGGATTCTCCCACCAGGTCTGTGTATTCTACCTTGCAATAGGCTCTTAATGTATCAATCTGTTCCTTTGTAAGCCTGTGCCTTCTGACCTTTCTCAGACTTCATATCTGGACCTGCAGTAACCTCCTAATTGGTCTTTCTGACTCTAGTATCTTCCTTCCTTAATCTGTCTTCCCCTCTGCTGCCAAAGTAGCCTTCCTCATCCTAGGCTCTTGAGATGGAAGGACTTTCCGAGGATCATACACTCCCAATCCCACCATTTTAAATATGAGGAGCTGAGACCTAGCCAAGTTCAGTTTCTTGCCAAGGTCACACAACTGGGATTCAAACTTAGGTCCTGTGACTTCAATTTCATCCCTCTTTTCATGGCACTGCTATACCCCTTAACATGTATCTTTTATTTTTAATTTCATGTTTTGTTCTGAACTTAAACATACCCAAAAAAAGAGTATGGCAAAACACAGAAAGACGATTGTGCGTGAAATCATGTCTGCGTTTCATACTGCTAAATGCATAAATCTTATTATGTCACTCTCCTGCTCAAAATCTTTTAGGGTTTCTCCATTACCTACAGAATGAGACACATACCCCTTACTCTGGTATTTAAGATATCCCGTGGTCTACTTTTAACTTAATCCATACATTATATATTTCAATGTAATGAAACATTCTAGGCTTTCCCAGATCTCATTTTGTTCTCCCTGGCTTTAGGGCATTTGTTTATACCACAAATCTTTTTTGGAACAGACTCTCTCCACGTTGCCACGTGTTGAAATTCTTCCCAGCTTTCAATGCTCAGATCATCTGAAGCCTCCTCCATAAGGCCTACCTGACCCCTCTATCTCCAATACTTCATTCTATTTTTTTGGCCTTCTATGCATTTGAAGGAAAGGGAAGGATTCTGATATGTAACCTGTGGCTCAGGATCTCCTAAGCTCTGGACTCACAAAGAACTGGTTGTATCTGAAGATTATTATTTCCTTAACTCATGTCCTTCCTCCTAGAGATTATTCTGGAAAAAAACTCCAAGTACACTCATGTCTATTTTTCCACAGATGTAGGGAACCCTAGCTACATGTGCTTAAATTAATAAATGCATATCCAATAAAGTATATCATAGAGAAATAGTCTTTAATTAAATCACAGAAAATACAAAAGGTGAAAAAGTACCAACAACCCACAGAAACCCATCAAGACAAACAGCAAACTAAACTAAGGGCTCACAGTCATTTCTAAACTCTTTTCAAAAGGAAACTGAACTTGGGTGTTGCCATTCTCACAATATACTGAAATTTCAGGGAAATTCTTCTCTCTCACAGGATTCCATGCAGTCTTTTCTGGTCTTATCAGATAGCAGAACCTCTTCTCATTGGATTTGCACTGTTAAAATAACTCATGGTAATAGAAGAAGGGGAAAAAGGAAGGGAGGACTTTTTCTTCTCTCCTTAGGCTTTAGTCCCTAGGTGCTCCTCCAACTGAAGGGGATCAGTGCTTTTTTTTTTGCAAAAGGACCACTACATAGAAACTCTCCCTCTCTTTCTGGAAAAATCACATTTCTAAACTCTTGGGGTTATTCTAAACTTCTTTTAAACTTAAGGTTATTCTTAAGGTAATGCCCAGGGCTAGTGCTCCCTAAAAAAATCTCCAATCTCTGCTAGAAGGCAAGTCACTGATTCTTTCCATGGTTAAGCATAACTGAAACTTCATCTGAGTTTATAGCCTTCATAGAATCAGGTCAGATGCCCTTTCCCTTCATTGTACTGAAATTAATAAAGCAAGCATGGTTCCCCAAACTGTAGGTGTAAGGTGAGTTCATGGGGCAGCTAGGTGGACAGTGGATACAAGGTCAGGCCTAGAGTCAGGAAGACCTGAGCTTCAATCTAGCCTTAGACACTTACGAGCTATATGACCCTGGGCAAGCCACTTCACCCTATGTGCCTCAGTTTCCTTATCTGTAAAATGAGCCAGAGAAGAAAATGGCAAACCACTTTAGTATCTTTGCCAAGAAAACCCCAAATGGAGTCACAAAAAGTTGGACATGACTGAAAACAACTGAACAACAAGAAAGTGAGTTTTGGTAATTCAATAACAGCCACCTCTCTGTATTTCCCAGGCAAGTACACTATAAATATACATGACCCAGTACCTACTTTCAGTTCTTATGTGGCCCCTAGAGGGAGGTCAGCTTCTTGCTCCAACATTGCAGCTGGGATTGCACAATAAATAGCAAAATATTTTTCCTGTCTAGTTCTTTCATTCTGGTTATTGTTTAATTTCAGAAGAATTTTTTATTCTAACTTGTTTGGGATCTTTTGTTTATTAAGATCATTAACAGCATACAATTTTCTTGGCCTACTACTGGTACAGATAAACTTACCAGGTGAATCAACAACTAAGGTAAATTTTCTTTTTTCCTAGAAAAAATTTTTTTTGGATATCTATGATTGTTCGACTCCCTCATTAACTCTGTCTGAACATGTAAGCACTCATGGTTTCTGTAATGTAAAGTTGACAGTTTTTCATTCATGTTTCTAAAGGAAAGAATTTTGAACAAACATTTAAATTTACCATAGTTATTGACTCACTTTCGGAGACAGTGGCCACTTTTGCTTTTTCTGTAACTTAAAAAAAAATCTCTCCAGCATTTACAATAGTTTTCAAGAATAGATATTAGTTTTATCATACGCCAATTACATTTTAATGCAAGCTCAACATCACTTCAGTTTGTCTGCTAATGAATTACACTCTCTTTCAGATGTCTTAATGATATCAGACTCAGGAATAATTTTTATTCTAATAGTTTATTCTAATAACTAATTTTCATTTGTTCATTTGCTTATCTATTTGGCTACAAAATTCCTCTAAACCAGGACTGGTTTGAAATCTACAGAAGATAAGTCATGAGAAAGCTTTCAAATATTTGAGTTTTGTAAGAAAATATTTTAGGTTATGAATAGAATACAACTGTCAGACCAGAGGGTTTTAAACACAGAAAGAATAAATTTCCCAACATAGATGTATAACAGAAGAAAATACAGTCAACACATTACTGTGATAATAGAAATACAGTAAGTTTATACTAAGTCTAGGGAAAGCTAATCTGAATTTGTAAAAAAAAAAAAAAAGCCAGAATTGTGGAATTTCACAAAGAAATGAAGTTTTATTACTTTTGACAACATCTACATAATTGGAACCCACTGCTAACAAATTGTTTATAATTCAAAGCTCCATTGAGTTTGCTTTGATGAACAGGTAAAGCTAATTTAAATTAGCAGCATCTGTGTTCACATAATTAGTGTGAAAACATATCTTTAAAGTTTGTATCCCCAATCAGCCTAAATATCTATTTTGTTCGAACTAACCTTCAAAAGGGGAA